CTGTTCTGACTTTTTTCGAGTTCCCTGTCTAGAACTTGTAATGCTAATTACTCTTGCCTTTACTTCTCCTTCCCATCTCCTATTCACCAGTCAAGGACTTTCTTTTCCCTCTACAGGTAAGAGTTATGCAATTTGGGAGTCTTTTAGATAGACCCACTGAAGGGGTACTCCAGCTGCCTCACCCTGCGTCCCTGTTCAGCATGGAAGAAGCCAGAGCACTCAGCGTCCTGATTCCCTAACCGCAAGTTGGGTAACTTCTTCAGAGGATGGTATGGTAAGAATAGGAGGTAGGAATTGGCTAGGTAGGAATTGGCTAAGCAGTTAGGGAAAAAAAGAGCACAAAGAAATGTAGCCAGTTTCTTGGCTAAAATTCACAATGTCCTTGGGCCTCTTAGCAACATACTCTGTTCCAAAGGCCAAAAATGTGGAAAGTATTTGGGAGCTCATATCTAATCCTTAAAAGATTTTAGTGTTACCTCTTCAGAGGGGGTAGAGTAGCCAACAGCCCCATAAAAAAATGAGTACATGAAGAAAAAAAAGAAGAGAAACAAAGGATCTTATCCGAAAAGTATTCTCAAGGTATGTGAGCCAACATTTTAGGACCAACTTCTCTTTTCCAACAGAATCTTTACAGAATTCTAGATAAGACTACAAGTCCCAGATCTAGGTTGCTATTATCTTTCAGAGTGATTGTGTAATGAATTAATACATGTAAATAATTGAGTGTAGAGCTCATTCTATAATATATATGTTAAAATATTAAAAAAGAAAAGTAGATGAAGCCATGGAGAGCAAGCTAGTGAGCAGCACTCCTCCGTGTCTGCACTTCCTGACTCCCCTCAATGACAGACTATCATTTGGAAGAGTGAGATGCAATAAACCCTTTCCTCCACAAGTTGTTTTTGGTCACAGCAACAGACAGCAAACTGAAACCTATCAAAGACCCAAAAATATGAACAGTTTTTTTCCTGTGGTCTCTTGATTTACTGTAGCATTTAATTTGCTATTTAATGTCATTCTAAGTAAAGAAAAATGAACATTTTCCACTGTTAGTATGAATTCTACCTTTCACCATTATACTGAACACTGCCCGTTTCAAATGGAAATGTAAGAACATTTATGTAAAATTATGGAAATTTGATAATTTGCATTTTGTAGATTGTTATACTCACCTGTATTTTTATCAGAAAAAAATGGAAATGTTGGTTAACATAAAAAAATGATTATGATTACCATGAAAAAAAAGAGAAAAACTCACACAGTTCAACAAAATACAACCCAATTAAAATGAATAAAGGAATTAATGATATGATATGGCTCCGAATAATTTAAGAATGGCCAAAAAAAAACACATGAAAAGAGGACTGACATCATAAGTCTCTATAGAATGCAGGTCAAACCACAATGAAGTAACAGTTTACAAAAACATGGGTGAACTGTTAAGGTGGGAAGTGACACATGTTCACAGTGATGCAGAAGCTGGAACCTTACCACCTTCCCGGAAGTGGGCATGTAAAATGGCATGAAGCTTGGTGATTCCTCAAAGCTAGAAATAAAACTAACATTTGATCCAGCAATTCAGTTCTTTAAAACACCATATGCACTTGCAAATCACTGGTCAGGCAGTATTACTCGCCACAGCTACAATTGGAAAAATGCCAACACCCATCAAGTGAGAAAATGGATGAAAGAAAATACGGTATAAATATGAAAAGAATTATTCAGCCACATGAAGAATAAAACTTGGGTACATGTGACATGGATAAATATTGGAAACATGTTAAGTGGAGTAAGCCAGGCGCCAAGGACAGAAATTTTCATTCATATATTACCTGGAATAACGAAATCATTTATCAGGGACTGGGAGAGGATGGAAAAAGTTTTTAGTTCAGTAGGCATCAAATTTGGTTGTGGTAATGATCAAGTTTTGAAACAATTGCACAACACTCTGAACATACCTATTGGCACTAAGTTATAAACCTTTAAAATAGGGGATCTTCCACAAAAAGTAAATGTGAAGGGTGCTGTAGCCACACTACCGTAACCTCCAGAGAGCATTCTCTTGATCTTCATGCTCTTGGCAAAGCCCTCCTGCTGACTATGAGCTGGACTTAAGTGACCCTTTTCTAACACACAAGGTAAGGCAAGAGACCATGCGTGACTTGGAATCCAGGTCATAAAGAATCTGTAGCATTGCTTTCTTCTAGATCACTTTGTGGGTCCATGTTACCATTCCATCAACAACTCCACAAACACATCCACAACCTGAGGACTTAGTGCCTGTCAACAGTCACATGAGTTCATCTAATGCAGTTCCCCCATGCTGATGACTTCAGCTGCAGGAAACATTCGAGGCTCCACCCTTCTAAGAGAGCCCAAGCTCAAACACCAGCCAACCTGCTCCTGGATTTCTGACCCTCATACTCTGACACACTGCTGCCCTAAGATACTCTAGTGTGGTGGTTTGTTCAATAGGTAACTTACACCAGGAGTCAAGGGAAAAAACATTAAAGCAAGAGTTTGAGTATCATGACAAAGTAACACAAAATGCTGGCATTTTCAACACCTGGAGCATTAATATAAAATATTAATATTTTATATCAATTATTAATTTAATAATTTAAATAATTTAATTATTCATTATAAAACTTTATATTTTAAAGTAAAATAGATATACCATATTAATTTGTACATAGACTGAAAGAGAAAAATAGGGGCTAGAGAGACGACTCAGATGTTAAGAGCACTTGTACTCTAGCAAAGCACCTAGGTCTGGTTCCCAGCACCCACATGGAGGCTAACCACCACCCGTAACTCCAGTTCCAGAAGATCATCACTATCCTCTGGCCTCCAAGGGCCACAGGCATACATGTAGTGCAAATAGATATATGCAGAAACTCACTCACTGGTGCAGGCAATGAAAATGAATAAATTTTTAAAAAAGAAAATTTTCCATTTTAGGGGGACAAGAAAGTTAACACTTCAATCAAATGTCATTGGCATTAGAAGTTTTTATTCGGATCTCATCCACAATCTATACAAGTTATGTACAAGGCATGAAAATGGAGAACAGCATGAAATACAATTGAGGTATAAGCTGAGAGCGCAGTATGTCAGGTTTCAATAAATATAATTCAAAATTTGTAAACTAAGTGACCAGATAGATGAGTCTTATTTTTTAGTAAAACCATATAAAATATTTATTTCACGTGAGGTAGAGGACAGTCTTGTGTGTCATGTAATGCAACCAACCACAGCAATTTTAATCGTTAAACTATAAAATTATAAACTGAATTATTATGCTTAATATAGTCAATTTGTTTCAATAGTTGCAGAACAGATAATTAATTTACTGTCTTCACTAGAAATGCAGTAATAATTTAAGTCTATTACATTGGCTTAAAATCAAGATAAATAAATGCTTCTAGCACAAAAGCTAAAAGCAACTATATTTTATCACAAACTATTCAAAAGATGTCCTAGATTTAGCAATTATTTCAGTAGGATGTTTTATGAGAATTACTTTAAGTATGCTGTGCTTTTTTATTTTCAAGTGAGGTATCTATATTGAAAAAAAATCTTATAAATTTATTTTATACTAAACTAACTTTAAACACTATTTTGTTTTCTGGGCTTAATTTTAAAATCTGTTTTACATTTGATCACTGTCTAACTCCAAAACAGTAGCACTATGTAAGACATTTAATTCTATATCTAAACAAAGCTCCAAATTGCATTATAGTTTTAAAAGCCATTTAAGTAGAAAGATTAAAAAAGAAAGACTGTCTTTTTAAACAAGATACAATACCAAATACCCATATATACTTTTCTTCCAACAGTGAAAATGCTTAAGTATCTTACACTAGAAAAAAAAAATTAAGCTCTCTTTAAGTTTCTCAATTCTGCAAGTATAATATATAATACAGCAGTTCTATGTCCCTTATTGCTGGCAGCATCCATAAAAACTGTTAATAAGAAGTTCCAAGCACAGGAGTAGCTGTACAGTATAAGCACAATCTTTCATGTTACTTTTTAATGTCCTGCATATGGATTAAATGCACAAAGGACAAGTAATAATTAGCATCTTCCCTATGTGATAAAAAAGTGTGTCTTACTGAGAAAAAACTTTCAGAAGCTGATCAAAGCCTTCAGTACCAGCTTCACAATTCTCTTCAGGGAAATACTCGGTATGTTTAGTACTTTAGTCTCCATGATTTTGCTTTCTTCAAACAAAAGCCACAAATGTGCAAGTAACTGGCTGCTCTGGCATCTTTCAAAGACATGAATAACCTGCAAACACCATGGTACTGGGTCTATTTCACCCACTTTACTCACTGCTTCATAATTCATTACGTACAAATCATTTTTCCATTTCTCCCTCTTACCCCTGTACAAAAGATTTTACATATAAACAGGTTATATATTAAATATGTTATAAAATTAGCTCAAGAAGCATAAAACATCCTAATTCTCAAAGACAGAAATTCAAGCAAAAGGACACATTTCAAACAAAATTAAAGCACAAGCAAAACCTAGGGTGTTGGTCAAATCTTTTCATAGTGTTTCAAGTTTCAGTTATAATTTTAGGGTGGCTTACAAACTTCCTCAATGGTAGCAGAGCTTGCACACTTTGTCTTTATAAATTTGGTACAATTTCCTCATCAAATTTGGACTATAGAGAAACTACCACCACCAAACTAAACAGTCATCATTCAGTACCAAAGCCAGTATCGTCTTTGTTCCACAGATGCCGGAGCAAAACTGTGTAGGTCATTCCTTAACAGTTTTTAATCTTCATTATTTTTCCTAAACAGAATAACATCATGGAGTCTGAGGAAAAATCCACTTGCCTAGTGAACTTGGTACAACACACAAAAACTAACACCAAAACACACTTTAGTTTTTTGTTTGTTTGTTTGTTGTTTTTTTTTTTTTTTTTTTTGGTCTTTTTGAGACAAGGTCTCCCAGTATCCACAGCTGGCCTGGTTTCGATAATAGAGACCAGGCTGGCCTCAAACTCACAGAGATCCACCTGCCTCTGCCTCCCAAGTGCTGGGATTAAAGGCATGTGCCACCACGCCTGGCAAAACAAACTTTTAAAGATAGCAACCAGCACATAAAATAAGCATGCAAAGAATAGAAAAAAGTTTTAAATGGATATTTTAGCAGAGGTCACTTTTAAGGTGTTACAAATTTTCAATTTTATTTTCAAGCTATATGGTGCAATTTAACTTAAAAGTTACTTTCAACAGTAATAGGTATAATATTTACAATTGATTAAAAAATTATTTCCAAGAAAGACAAAACTGGCACATCCTTGTATGTTCTAGAAAATAAAGGCTATGCTAAGTAGTGTCACATGGCAAGTTTCATCACGTGAAGGACTAGAAAAAACTACCTTCAATTCTAAATTAAGAGTTCATAATAATATGCTGTTTAAGAGCCACTTAGAATTCTAAAATAACATATTTTCAAGAAAGAGCAATATATTTGGAAAGGTTTGGGTTGAAACTTACAGAACTTTATCAATTTGCTAAGTAACACACAAGCACAAAGCTTGAGTGAATTAGAAAAGTTAAGTGGTATTTCCAAAAGTCTGAGCTGTGATACAACTAGTTCACAACCTAACCAAAGCTATTTTATGACAGTGAATTTTCCTTTCTCCAGAATCATTCAGGAAAAATGTTTTAACATTTGTGCCTCCTAGAGGAGAGTCCCAAAAATCAACAAATTAAATTACAGGGCTAATATAGTGAAGATTAAATGCAAATATACACTACCTCACAGTATACTGAGGAAACAAACTCCTTTTTGGAAAGCACGTAAGTTCCCTTTAGATATGAGTACCATGAAACAAAATATGCCATACCCAGGTAAGTGGGAACCCAGAGGCCCCTGAAGATCTACACTGTGAGAGCACAGTCCACAACCACAGCTGTAATTCATTTCTAAACATAGTTCCCTTAAGCAGTTTCACATAGTACCGTACACGAGAACATGAGAAACGCAAACCTGGTGAGCTAATAGCATCAGTGGAGGTTTCAGGAAACCTCTTTAAAAAAACCTCATACTAGTTAGGTGTGGTGGCACATGACTGTAATCCCAACACCTGGGAGACAGAGGCAGGAGGATCACTGCAAGATGAAGGCCACCCTGGTCCACATATTGAGTTCCAGGTCAACCATGGCTACATAGTGACACTGAAGAATAAAGAAATAAGAAACATAATGCCCACAGAGAATTTTACCTAATAACTTTTAAACCAAATTGAGCATCAACTAATGTAAAATTTGCTATAAAAATAACAGACTTTTCTGCACAAAATGAAAAACAACGAAAGTGCAGAGGCTCCCCTCCCCCAAATCATGGAATTCCTTTGTCATCTATAAATTATTTAAAAATCCTGTTGGTACCAGACATTTCAACTGTCCTTTATCAACCTACATTAACAGCTGACTGTAAATTCCTGATTTAATATTAAAGAGTCATTATGGTCCATTTGTGCAAATGTTTGGGTAATATTTAAACATACAAAAGTCCAAAGTAACCTTCAAGGTATTTAATATTTTATAATTTAAAAGAAAACAAGTCCATTATATAAATTTCATTAAGACCCATATAAAAACTGTACAGGAGGATTATGGATTGTATAGAAACCAACATACATTAATGGAATCCATTTTTCTCAAAAACATTAGCATTTTCACACTGCTATTAACAAAAGTTCGGAAATTATTTTAATTTACTGAAGTCAGTGAAAAAAATTCTAGATAGATCTACACTTAAAATGAAAGACAAATTACAACTGCTTCTTGTGTTCAGCAGCAGGCACAACACATGTTTTCTTTCCCCATGGGGGGCTGTAACTCCCATCAGTAAAATTCCTCTAAAGAGGCATTAAAACCAGTGGAAATGCATCCTACAAGCTGAACAAAGTAAAAACAAACTTGGTATTCAGAAAATGAGTATGCTACAGCAACTTAGATTCTATGAATGAGAAAAATGGAAATTCAACCCCCACAATGTAGTCTACATCATGTATCTGAACTATGATGCCACCACTGTTTCTAAAATCTAGTCTGAAATATGCTTAACAAAACTAGCACAACTATTTTCCATCACATAATGCAGCTTTTAAAAAGTATGCAATTGTTAAGTTTGAATTAGAAATACAGGCAGTCTACTTACAAGTTGAAATTATATAGTATCACTACTAAAGCTGACTGGAGGAAAAAAAGCACAATAAAACATACATGTTTCCATTCATTTAGAAAATGTAAAAATGTATGTGTGAATATATAATCTCTTCACTTTTGCTGACCTACAAATGAACAGAATGCCTAATTATCTTCATGCAGATGAGATGTTCAGAATTCAATTACCGAAGCAAGCAACAAACATAAAATCCTGTCAGCAAAATCCAGATGCATCTCTTCACTGGTCCCTATTCCTTAGCAGTCTTTGATGATTTCCCAATCTGCAGCTTCAGTTCTTTTATCATCATCTCCAACTTCTGTCTGGCCTCCCGCTCCTGCCTCAGTTCATCTTGGAGCTCTTGCCTATCTGCCTCAGCATGGTCCAATCTTTGCCTCAGTTCTGCCAACTGTGTGATTTAAAAAGCGATGTTAGTTTTCCATCATTTTTTCCCCATTGAATCCTCCTACCATGTTCAAAACTTTTTTCAATTTGTGTTTTACAAAATGGACTATTTTCATGCACTCTTTGAATATCCAATACTTTTGACATTCACATGATGGTGAATTGAGAGAACAGCAAGGTATCAAGAGGGATGAACACTCACAACATCCTAAGGCATGACTTCTCTCATCACAGCCTGCTCATGTTAACTTATCTTCCCCACACTGTAAGCTAATATTAACAAAAAAAGTGATTTCTGACTCTGGCATTTCTAAATGTAGCAGGCAATATTTTATGTCTGCTAATCAATCCCATAATGCTACATTAAAGTAACAAAAAAATTATATTTTGTTTACTTATTTATTCATTTACATTCTGCTAGAGATCAAACTTGGGGTCTTATGCATGCTAGGCAGGTGCTCCACCACTGAGCTACACCCCCAGTCCACACAATACAAAATTTTATATTCAGAGCACCAACATTAGTAATTTAGATTATTAAATTACAGAAACCCAATTAAAATTAAAAGTTTTAAAACCTTATTACAGAATTTAATAAAGTTGTGTTTACCATAATTAACTGTCTTGAAATCTAGCACAGCTTGACAAAAGTCACTCTTTCAAAGTTTCCATTCCCATATCTGAAGGGCACCGTTACTATAAACTGAATCACTTACCTGTGCAGCGTACTCAGCCTCTCTGTCTTTTTCTAAATTTGAGTCACAGGTGCACTTTTGCTTCATTACTTGCTCCAATTTTTTCTCTAAGTCTCTCTGTTCAATGTAAAATTCTTCCATTTTCTGAGCATGTTCGTTCTGCAAAGATTCAAGCTCTTTCTGTAAATTCTGCTGCTCTTCAGTGAGCTCCTTCATTGCCTTTGAGCTGCTCAACATTTCCACTTCCTATAATAAAATATGATTCTTTATTTCCATCACATTTAAAATTTCTGTTCAAATGAGCCGGGCGTGGTGGTGCACCTTTAATCCCAGCACTTGGGAGGCAGAGGCAGAGGCAGGTGGATCTCTGTGAGTTCAAGGCCAGCCTGGTCTACATAGTGACTCCAGGACAGCTGGGGCTAGAGAGAGACACTGTCTCAAAAAGACCAAAAAAAACAACAAAAAAAATCTGTTCAGAAAAAAAATAAGTCATAAGATATCTGAAATTCAACTACCATGCCATTTTTATATATGTGATTATCATGAAAAACTGATTTTCTCTACAAACTTAATTTTTTGCTTCTTACTGTACAACTGAAGAAGTAAGTACATTTACAGCATCTCATTCTAAGACTATGGAAAGGTATCTTTTTTTTTCTTGTTTTTGGGGTTTTTTTTTGTCATTTTGTCTCCCTTGTAGCCCCAGCTGGCCTGGAACTTACTATGTAGACCAGGCTGGCCTTGAACTCACAGAGATCCACCTGCCTCTACCTCCCAAGTGTTGGGATTAAAGGCATGTGCCAAGGCCCGGTGGAAAGGTTTGTTTTTTGGTTTTTTTGAGACAGGGTCTCCCTGTAGCTCCAGCTGACCTGGAACTCACTATGTAGACCAGGCTGGCCTCGAACTCAGAGATCCGCCTGCCTCTGCCTCCCAAGTGCTGGGATCCGCCACCACACTGGGCCCGGCGGAAAGGTATCTTTTAAGAATGGACTATTCTGGGGCTGGAGAAAGGGCTCAGCAGTTAAGAGCACTGGCTGCTCTTCCAGAGGACCCAAGTTTGAGTCCCAGCACCCACATGGCAGCTAACAATTGTCTAGAACTCTAGTTCCAGGGGAATACAATGCCCTCTTCCCCAGGCATTGCACAACACAGGTGTACTTACATACATGCAGGCAATACACTCATACACATCAAATAAAAAAAATAATAAAATTTTTTTACATAAAAAGAATGTGGGGGTTGGGGATTTAGCTCAGTAGTAGAGCACTTGCCTAGCAAGCGCAAGGCCCTGGGTTCGGTCCTCAGCTCCGGGGGGAGAAAAAAAAAGACAAAATAACAAAAAAGTTACCATCTGAAGCTGTTGCTTCTTTTGCAAAATTAAATTCAGCTTCTCCTGTTGTTTTACGTAAGTTCTCATTACTTCTTCCATGATTTTCCCCTTGTCATCCTCACAAATAACGTCTTTGACCAGAAGTGGCGAGGAAACTGCAGGGTCATGCTTGCTTGTGTCTCTTACTATTCTGCAAACTGCAGACTCAGATTTCTTTTTACTTGTAGAATTATTTGAGACTGATGGATCTTTCAAAGAAAAAAAAAAGCCATAGTGTTAATACTACAAGTTAAAAGTCATGGGAACAATCTATGAAATTAAGAAAACAATTCAATGTATAAATCAAATCAGAAGCAATAAAATGCTTAAGAAAAAAATTAAAGTAGTGCCTGACATGTATGACAACTACAAAAGAAATCAGAAACCTAAATGCAGGCAAAGATGGACCTGAGGACCTCACACTGAAGTTAGCAGCACTCCACATCAACACTACTCAATCCACATCAAAATCCCAGCTCACATTTTTGCAGAAACTAACAGGCTTATTCTAAGACTCACAATCCAATTTCAAAGCTTACTACAAAGCTACAGAACTCAAAACTGTGAGACTGGGGAGATGGCTGATGCCACACAAACAGAAAACCAGAGTTTGAATACCCAGAACCCTCATAAAGTATACAGCAGCACATATCTGTAATCTAAGCATTCCTAAGGCAAAATGAGAGGCAGAGATGGGAGAGTCCCCAGATGCTCATCAGCTAGCTAGCCCAGCATGCAGCCAACAATGAAAGACTGTTTCAAACAAGGTAGAAAGCAAGGACCTACACCCAGGGTTGTCCTCTAACTTCCATGTGCATGCCATGGCAAGCGTGCAGCCACACACACAAATGTGAGCATGTCACACACACCATAAACACACACAATCACAACTGTGTCACTGACACAAGAATAGACACACAAATCACCAAAAAACAAAAAAAAAAAGAAAGGAAAAAAGTCCAGAGGGGTTGGAGAGAGCACTGACTTCTCTTACAGAGGATGCCGATTCGATTCCTAGCCCCACATGGCAGCTAACAACTATCCGTAACTCCAGTTCCAGAGGATCCAACGCCCTCTTCTGATCTCCTCCACACTGCACTTAAGATAAATGGGGGCAATATAATCATACACATAAAATGTTCACTTCAGCAGCACATATTAAAATCGATTTAATTTTAATTGCTTGAGTGATTGAATGATTCCAAGTTAGGAATGGTCTGTCTCTATGCAAGGATGATACACAAATTTTCAAAGCATTCCATATTTTTTAGAACAAGGCACAATGACATGTATATATGAAAATGGCATAATGAAGCCTATTAACTACTTTGTATGCTAACATAAAAAGTTAACAGAAAAAAAAAAAATTCCAGAGTCTAAGCCAGGAGTGGCAGCTGGCAGGCATACCCCTATGATCCCTGCCAGGAGGCTGATGTAGGTCACAAGCTCACTACCACTCTGGGCTACACAATAAGACCATCTCAAAAATCAGAATCCAAAGACTTCAGAGTCCAGAAATAAGTAAGCTCATACTTTCATAGGCAATTGCTTTTAATGAGGGTGCCAAAGCAATTCAATCAGGAAAGAATAATCTTTTTAATGAATAGCAGTATGTAGACACACACAAAAAAGTTGGATTTCCCATAGCACACAAATATTAATTCAAAATGATCTAAATATAAGGCCTAAGAATTAACTCTAAGAGTGAAAATCAGTCAGTACAAACTGTCCCAGCCTTGGACTAGACAACGCTTTTGCAGGTGTGACACCTGAGCTAAGAAAAAAAGCAAGCAGGCAACTGCACCACACAGAAACTAGAACCTTTATACTCAAAGGACCACTAACAGGAAGATGAAAAGAACTGTCAGAATGACAAATCCTACAGATGGTAAGGACCCAGAAATATAACAAAAACCTCTTGGAACACAACAGGAAAGAGACAATCCAATTTAAAATCTGTCGGAGGATATGACTTCTCCAAAGAAAGAAAGAGTATTTCTTCTCCAAAGAAAATATCCGACGTCCAGGAAAATAAAAGGAGAGATACTCAACATCATTAATCATTAAGAAATTACAAATCATAATTCCAGTGAGATATCACTTCACAATCACTGCAATGGCTACGGCTATATTCAGAACAGATAGTAGCAAGTGTTGACAGATGTGCAGACACAGAAACCTCGGAAAAGTTTGACGGTTTCAAAGTGTTAACATAGTTATCGTAAGACCCAACAATTCCATTACTAAATACATACTCAACAGAACTGAAAAATATGTACACACTAAAACTTGCATACCAGTGTTCAGAACAGCATTATTCATAGCAACTAGCTAGAGGACAATACAATCAACTAAAGGGATAAACAAAATGTGGCTTATCTACACAGTGCAATACTACGCTCTAAAAAACTTCTGATACATGGACCACAGACTGAGAAAAAAATATATATATACTTAATGAAGAAGCCAGACACAAAACCACATCATTCTTTTCATCTGAAATATCCAGAATAGGTCCATAAAGTCCAAAAATAGATAAGGGGCTAAAGACAAGGGGGGCTGGGAATGAATGCTAAGGGAAACAGAGATTGTTATGGGATCAATGAAAATGCTCTGGAATTCAGGAAAGCTGTGTCATGACTTTGTTATTATTCTAGAAACAAATGAATTGTATGCTTCTAAATTCTGTAGCATGTCAAGTGTAACTCACTTATTTTTTAATTCCAGGATTAACTTGCAAAACCAAAAAGAATACAAATGTTAGTACATATGAATTATTGCTTACCATTATTTCAAGTCAAAGGAACTGAGTGTCAGTAATCACAACTGAAGTACAGAAAGTCCTCAAAAATCTCAATTCTCTATTAAAATAGTTACATAACTAGAGGACTTGTCCAACTGCTCTAAGGAAGCCAAAATAACTCCAACTGCTAGGCACTAAACAAAGCTGAGCTGCCATAGGCAGCACTGGGGTGGACACACCTCCTTGGGTCCATGGTATTTTTAAAGGCATGGTAAACAGGAAGATTTTTCTTTTTCAGATAACCAGTCAGCACTCTGCATCTACGCCACCTGCCTGACTCCCAGAGCTTTCACTCCTCGCTTTACTGTAGAAGTTTCTCCAAGTTTTGTACCCAACTGTTATTCCTTACATATACTTAATATCATTTAAACGGTTTCTCAGTTCACAAAAATTAAAAATAAGGACCTGTTGAAGAATTCTACCAGTGAGAAAAGGCAGAAGAAAAAGTGACAAAATTCATCTGGAACATGAAGTGTGCATGTTATCTTTTCAGCCTCCACAGGCTACCACCAGCCTAGAAAAGCACACCACTGACGTTCGAAGAAGCCACCCTGAGCTTTGAAAGTTGTAAGTGTTTTAAAATAAAAGCTTTGCCACATAGGGGTGGAGAGATGCTTAAGAACACTAGCTGCTCTTGCAGAGGACCTGGGTTCAGTTCCCAGTACCCACATGGTGGCTAACAACAGTCTGTAACTCCAGTTCCAGGGGATCCAACATCCTCTTCTGGCCTCCAGGGGCATCTGGCATGCATCTGGTGCACTTATATACATGCAGGCAGAACACTTACACATAAAATAAAATAATAATCTTAAAAAATATTTTTTAAAGCAAACTCTGCAGGGTATGGTGGCACACACACACACACACACACACACACACACACACACACACACATCATTGAAGCCAGGCTAGTCTACATAATGAGACTGTCTCAAAAGAAAAAAAAAAAGCTTCTTACCCTCAGGCAAAAGCAGGCTTCATTGAAGCCAGGCTAGTCTACATAATGAGACTGTCTCAAAAGAAAAAAAAAAAGCTTCGATCATATGAAAAAATTTGCTTAAATAGAAAATCTCTTCTAAAGTACTGATTTCTAAAATATAACTTTTAAATACTTACCTAAACGGTTGTATAATTCTCTACTTGTTTTTAAATCCATTTTCTCCTGTTCCTCAAGTGAGACATCTGGGTAAGATACTGTCTTTTGATGTTTATTACTATCGTGAGGCTTTTCTGACTGTCTGGAGAAGGACTTACTTTGCTCTGTCTTCGTGGCCTCTTTAGACTGGGACACAGCAGAAGTGAGTGACACATTTGGTGCAACCACTTTGTCACACATGTACAAGTAGTAGCTAAAAAAAAAAAGGCAAGATAAGACATGTATTACACAGCACACTTAAGCAAAAATTGAAATGTGACATCTTTCTATAAACTCATTTTTTTTTTTTTTTTTTGCTAAGGTCAATGTAGAAATTCAAAAAATATAGGTCACAGAAAAGACTTGGGAAAGAAAATCAAGATACTTTTGGACAACAAAAATCATGAGGGATTTCTGTCATTTTCTGGATTAATTTCAAAACACTAAAAAGATACTGTGAAAGAAAATTAACCTCCTCTCCTTCTCTAAAAACCACCAGAGTACTAACGCATGAAGCACCAGGTACCTCATGCCTGTAATCCCAGCACCTGAGGGGCCAAAGCAGGAGGACTACCACAAGTTCAAGGCTAGCCTGGGCTACCTAGTGAATCTCAGGCCTTCCTGAGCTACAAAGTGAAATCCTCCCTGTCTCAAAACACAAAGATGCACTTGAAACACTTCACAGCGCTGTGGAGCTCAGAGAACAGCAGCCCCCACTGCAGGGAGTCTGTCTATGAATGCTTTTCTAGTGAAAAGAACTACAAATCCAACTCCACAACTTCCCCATGATGAAAACCAGTAACAAAAGGTATGTTAAATCCAATGTACTTGTCCAAAACAATTCCGAACCTTCACAAATTATGACTTCATTAAAAAAAGAGAACCTAGGGGTTGGGGATTTAGCTCAGTGGTAGAGCACTTGCCTAGCAAGGGCAAGGCCCTGGGTTCGGTCCTCAGCTCTGAAAAAAAAAGACAAAAACAACAAGGCAAAAAAAAAGACCCTAAAGGGAAGTGATTTAAAGTCAGTAATTCCTGAACAGTGCCTGGCAAACAGCTGTGGAATGAATGAAGAAATGAATGAGCAAACAACTAGATACCCACCTGGGGTGTAAAAACGAGTGTGTCTGAGGAACAGGGTCACCTTCCTGTTTTATAACAGGATACCACGATGGCAAGTCCATTCCTGATGGGGCATCTGTCTGTAGGAACATGTGGAAAGGGACATTTACTGACAGGAAAAGATGATTTCTCTGTTTCTTTGTTTAGTGTGGTTCAGGAATGGAACCCAGAGATCAGACCCAAAGATTTGCCTATGCTACTCAAGTACTCGTACACTGAGCTCCACAGCCAGCCTGTGACCGTTCATTTTGTGTTCTCTTGACAGAATCACAGAACGAGTCACATTTTTAAGGGCCATCCTCTAACAAGCACTCTCCTACAGTAATGCATCTCATTTCTTTAAACAAGAGACTATTACGTGATCTATCCGTTCACAAGCTTCAATATGCAAGTTAAATGGCTTACCAGAAACAATTTCATCAAATACCACACTTTGAGAATCCATTTCACATAATAATATGAAAACACGCAGCATTGAGAACCGATTCTTAGTCTCGCTATAAACAGCCAGCCTTTATCTCATACCCACAGTATTTATTAGAATATTAACTAGATAACATTCTATAGCAATAAGGACTTTGGCCAATTAAATCTGAAAGTACTATGTTTGTGGGGCTGGAGAGGTGGCTCAGCAGTTAAGAACACTGGTTTTTCTGGCAAAAGACCCGGGTTCGAATCCCAGCACCCACATGGCAGCTAACAACTGTCCGTAACTCCAGCCCCAGGGGATCTGGCAGCCTCTTCTGACCTCTTCGGGCATTGCGTGACATGGGTGCACCTACCTACATGCAGGCAATACATGCATACACATAAAATTAAAAAAAAAAAAAGTACTATGTTTGTTAACAAGTATCAGTACAACACATTTCCTCATAAATACTAAAAGCTTTTTTTTAAGCACTAAAGATGAGATGTACCTATAAATAAAGCAAAAGAAGGGGAAAGATAACTGGCATTTAATATGCATCTACTGGCTGAGACTGCTACATTACATATTCTGCTTAATCCTAACGCACACTTCTCTCCATTAAGTGGCTATCATTATCTCCGTTCATGTTTAAAAACAGTTTAGAATAAATGACCTAAGGTTACTAGTTTCTTATTTTGGCCTATTTTATATCTTGCCTTCCTTGCATATTTCATACTACAGTTACTACCCAGTTCTTGTGGGAATGAAGAGACCAAGAATCACTGGTAGAAGAGTGGAGGAGCTGAAAGTAACATGATTAGGGCAGACAGCAGAGACAGGAGGTCAACAGTAGTGTGTTAAAGGGAGGATAAGTCAGAAAGGAAAGCTGGATATTGTTCTGAGCCCTGCCTCTGAAAGGCTCCAATCCAATCTGCAGTGAGGAAGAGTGTGGAGAATGACAACCTCCTAAAGGACAGTCAGGGCTCAGTGGCAGAGCTTGCCTGGCATGCACAAGGCCCTGGGTTCAACCTTCAGAACCACACATTAAGACCTCACACAGGCTAAGAATCGGGGAAGATGCTTTACATGTCCCAAATGTTTCAAATTGGGATAGAAAAGGAAAAGAAAGAATGACATGAAATTCTAATTAAAATAAAAATCAATTTTGAATGGTCCATGGTGGGGGAAGGAAGGGGTGGCCTGTGAATGGAGGAAACCAATAGAAATGAAAAAACTTAGGCAAGATCCAACAAGGAGCCCCGTGCCAGCAACGAAAATGGATGAAAGCACAAGAAGCAGCCCTTGAAATACACATTCCACGACTTGACAATCCAGATGACTTGAAGCCAATAAAAAGTTTTTAAAACTAGGGCTAGTGAGATGGCTAGTGGGTGAAAGCGCTTGCTGTTAAGCCTGGCAACCTGAGTTGGATCTCTGAGACCCCCTCCCCCATGGGAAAAGGCGAAAACTAACTCCTGCAAGTTGTCCTCTGACCACACATGTGCCGTGGCACATGCTTTCCCCCCAAAATAAATAAATATAATAAAAAGGTCAGAAATAAAAACATGGTAACTTGTACTAGTGGGAGATCTGTATCTTCCTAAGAATTATTGGATATGGAATGTAAGATACAAGTAAGACTACAAACTACAGGGAAAAGAATAAAGGTTTAAGAGTTGGGTATCTAGTGACTAGATTATATGAAAACTTTTTTAATGTCACAAAGGTGATCAAATACTAAAATTTAGATAAGCACCACAATTTTGATGTAATATTCAGAAACTGGACAAATTCAACCACTTATTTATAAAGTAAGCCAATCAATTATTTACATTTTTTCAACCTATAACAGTAGATTAAAAAGGGAACTGACTTCTAGCAACAAATACTAAACTGATACTTGCTGACAGCTAGCAGCCTAAGGAGAAAGCAGAATTATAAAACACAACATAAAAAATTGTTACCGAGAATAGGACAATCAGGAGGCTTCACATAAGCCAGGGCAAGTCACTTAATTTATTTCAAGTGCTCTCTATGACTAACTCAGTACTTGGAGTTGTGGTAACTGATGTTTAAGTCTTGAATCTGGATGCCATCATTAAATAATGTTCTCTATACCACTTAGATTCAAACTTATTTGAAAACCTTCAAATTCATTTAAAATGGTTACATTTTTAAATCTTCCTGCTTAAAAGAGTAACTTAATAGGATATTTTGCACTCTGCCTTCTAACTATAAAAAGAGGTGTTGATAAGCATGGGTAAGTTACTCTATGGAAATCTAAGATTATCTTGAATTAAATGAATTTTTTTGGTTAAACTCATTAAAGAAAAACAAAGGCCCTCTTTAAAATCAGTCTTATATCTTAATTCTAAATGTACTGCCCAATAAATCATTTTCAGATTTTTTTTAAAAGTAAAAATCACTAAAGCCGGATTACACATTTAAGTTGTTCTTAGTATGAATACTGGAATCTCAAATCTTAGAAGATGGACTAAAAGAAGAGCTAATTGATGTAGCACAGTTCAGCCCACTGTGGGCAGTACCAACCCTAGGCAAGTGGTTCTGGGCTGTGTAAAAAAAGCTAGCTGAGGCAAAAGCAGGGCGCAGGCCAGTAAGCAGAAAATGCCACAGACATGCCACAGGCCAATCTGATGGAGGCAATCCCCAAATGGAGACTCCCTCACATCATTCTGGGCTGTGTCAAGTGGACAGCTGAAGCTAACTAGGTCATTCCCCTTAATATTATTGAGCATTGTCCCTAACCAATGTCTAAATTCTCTATTCAACCCTGGAAAGTGGTGACCCAGCTTCTGAACAGCAACTCAAAGTCAAAAACAATCATGATTTGCATTTCTAGCACCTAGCCCCCATGCCTACCATGCAGCAGGAACTCTTATTTCTTGCATGATTTTGAAAGATGGGTAACTCTTTAATTCCCAGGTTAGCATTATATAAGGTTACTGGGGAAAAGGGAGGGGCGGGGGGAGGATCACTGATTACCATGACACTCATAAGACAAGACACTAACACTTGACATCTTGTGAAGCAGCAAGGGAAGCTGAGTCATGTTTGACTACATTTTATCAGATACACGAATTAAACAACACGAATCATAGGGAAATGCACAGTGCAAAGGTGAGAAAGTGCTGCAGGTCAATGTCACCTAACGTGCTGTGGTAAGCCATGAACACTGTCATAACAAATTATCCTAACTGCACGTCAAAAACAATTAAACACATATTATACAACAAAACACTCACAGACATGCCAGATTTTTCTCATCTAGTCTGCATTTGTGTCAACATACAAATTAGGTTTTCAGAAAAAGAATATAATTAAATGGTGCAGCAGTAATGCTGCTGATCAAAAATACAAATTAGACATCAAAATGGTAGCATCTACTGCCTTTTAGCTACCATTCAACATGAGAACAATTTATTCCTTGTGTACTTAAACATTAAAACAAAATGCATTCCATCACTTGGCAGGACGAGGACATCATTTAGTAGCTTAAGTTAGAGCCTTAGTGGTTTAAAATGCTTGTACAACGATCGTCGTCTGCCCACCACTACCTACCTCAGAATGAACAGATGGCACCTTCACACCACACAAATAAGCAAGATTTCAGATACGTTATTTCAATCCAAATGTCTTTTCTACTAAGCAAATAACATCTAATGAAAGCAAAATTTAAAGGATTCGTAAATGTATAGCAAGTTAATTTTTAATAAGTAAAACAAAGTGTTTTTAAAAGGTTTTATTTATTTTTGTGTGATGAGTGTTTTACATGCACACATAACTCATACATGCAATACCCACCGGGGCCAGAAAAGGGCTTCAGATCCCGTAGAACTGGGGTGGCAGCCAGTTGTTAGCAGCCATGTGGATGATGGGAACCAAACTCAAGTCCTCTAGAACAGCCAGTGTTCTTAACCACTGAGCCAATTCTCCAGCCCCCAGGAAGTGTTTTTTAAAAGCTTCTCTAAACTTCTGCATCTTACAAGGTACACTTCACCCTTTGATAACCAGATACACTAATAACCATTAAGTTTTGGTGATCCATGGTTATCAGTTTCACAATGACAAATAATTTAAGAGTTTGGCTTTTTTTTTTTTTTTAAGAATTTTGGGTACCACCTTTTAAATACAAAATTAAGTTCAGCCACTCAAAATTATTTGTATACAAATATTTGAAATCAAAATGCATTAAAAATTGTTTTACAAGTTCTAAACTTAAGTTCAGTAATAAATTTTGCTTTTCAGTGGCACTCTAGGTTTCAATTACGACATCAATTAATATTATAATCTTTAATTTGTAATGACAACTCAAAACTGAGACAATACCTTATAATACTGATGGGACTTCCAAATTCCCAATAAAAATACAAATTAAGCCATTTTAAGGTCCACAGAAGCCAGAAGAGGGCATTAGATCCCCTGGAACTGGAGATACTGCTGGTTGTTAGTTGCCATGTGGATGCTAGGAACAGGACCCAGGTCTTCTGAATGAACATCAAGTGCTTGTAACTGCAGAATCATCTCTCCAGCCCCATAATTTTTTTTGGCTGAGAGAGTAAGGAGAATATGTGTGTGTGTGTGTATGTGCACAGGTATAAAGGACAACTTTGGGGAGTCAGTTATCAGTTCTCTCCTTCTAATATGTGGGAC